CAATGCTAAGGATCAGATCTCTGTTTTCCATACAGCAGAACGTGACTCCCTGCACAAAATCCAAGACTCCAAAAGCGCACTTCTTCCTCTTCCTTTGAGAAAGAAGCCCCAAAGTGACCAGACTGCTCCCATGCAAATCTGCCACTCTCTATAGATACACTATCTCTCTCCTTCCCATGGAGCAATGCATGGCGAGTGGAACAGACTCCTCAAGTCTGCCACACTTTGAGCATTATTAGACTGAGTCTTTTATAGGAATATTCCGTTGATGTAGTCCCAAAGTTGTAAATGAATGATAGACATCTTCCATCCTGGCTCCATCTCAGTTTCCTGACCAGATGTTGACTCTTCTTGACTGGTGCTAACAAACACAAGGCTTGTGTTGGCTTCCTTCTTAACATTGTAAACATTTCTGTTATCACTGTCCTGTTCCTATCAGAGTTCACTTTTTCAGCTGTCATTAGCAACTTTTAATTACAGTCCAGCAAGCAGGTTTAGTCATTGCAGGCCTTAATATTTTACTAGTGTTTCCAAAATTATTAGCTCCATCCATACATTCTTCCATTCATTCCCACACATTATTATATCAATTTCACATTTATCAAATCTGCAATGATATTTTTGTGACATTCTTACTGTTTCTCTTTTCTTCAAGGTGCTGCTGGAAAAGAGAGTGAAAATGGGGGAGCATCATGTAAAGTGTGGTTGAAAAGATATAAAGAGGGAGAAGAGGGAAACCTTGAGATGGAAACAGAAGACTATAGAAGGAAGGAGTGTTGTGCTGATACGAAGGAAATCAGAAACCAAGAAACAGTAAATGAAAGCAGGTCGATCAGGAACTGTCTTGCCTTTGATAGTAGCTTCTTGCATGAGGACTCATGCCTGAATGGTGATATCACCATCCAAATAGAGAAAGGACAACCCAAATTCCAGAAATTGGAAGAGAGCTTGGACTCTAGTATACACCTTCCAAACTATGAAAATCCACAAATTGTGGATAAACCACATAAATGCCTGGAGTGTGGGAAATGCTTCCATCAAAAAGGAGCCCTAAGCAGACACCAGATAATTCACACGGGGGAGAAGCCATACAAATGCCCGGAGTGTGGGAAATGCTTTCATCGGAAAGAAGCCCTAAGCAGACACGAAAAAATACACACAGGAGAAAAACCGTATAAATGCCTGGAGTGTGGAAAGGGCTATATTGACAAGAGAAGTTTCATTGGGCACGAAATGAACCACAGGGGAGAGGCACCCTATAAGTGCCTGGAGTGTGGCAAGGGCTTCATCCACAAGAGAGGTCTCTTCATGCACGAGATGAATCACCGAGGAGATAAACCCTACCGTTGCCTAAAATGTGGGAAGAGCTATAACTGCCAATACGTCCTCAAAAATCACCAGAACACTCACGTAGAAGAAAAGCCACACACGTGCCTGGAATGTGGGAAGAGTTTCAGTTGGAAAGGAAGCCTCAAGGACCACCAAAGACTCCACATGGGAGAGAAGCCATATAAATGCCTGACGTGTGGTAAGGCCTTTACTCAGAGGAAATATCTCATTGGACATGAAATGCACCACAGAGGAGAGAAACCCTAAATGTCTGGAATGTAGGAAGAGTTTTAGGGTTCAAATCAGGTCTCAAAAGTCATCAGGATGGAAAGCATGCACATGCCAAGAGTGTGGGGAGAGTTCAATCTTCAAAATAGTCACACAATGAAGAAGACACATCTAGTCTTTGTATTGATTCCCTTGTGTTCAGTGTAAAACAGTTGAGTCAAGATATCTTAGGTCTTCTTTTGGTACACTTTAAGGCAGTGTTTCTCAACCTTCCTAATGCCGCAACCCCTTAACACAATTCCTCATGTTGTGGTGACGCCCAACTATAAAATTATTTTTGTTGCTACTTCAAAACTGTAATTTTGCTGGGTTGTTGTAAGTTTTTTGGGCTGTATGGCCATGTTCCAGAAGCATTCTCTCCTAATGTTTCACCTGCATCTATGGCAGGCATCCTCAGAAGTGGTGAGGATGCCTGCCATAGATGCAGGCGAAATGTCAGGAGAGAATGCTTCTGGAACATGGTCATATATGGCAGGAATCACTGGGTTGTAAGTTTTTCAGGCTGTATGGCCATGTTCCAGAAGCATTTTCTCCTGATGTTTCACCTGCATCTATGGCAGGCATCCTCAGAGGTTGTGAAAATGCCTGCCATAGATGCAGGCGAAATGTCTGGAGAGAATGCTTCTGGAACATGGCCATATAGCSMAAAAAAACCTACAACAACCCAGTGATTCCTGCCATGAAAGCCTTCGGCAAATGTAATTTTGCGACTGTTATGAATCGTAATGTAAGTATCTGATGTGCAGGATTGTCACGTTGCCAGGGCTCTGCTGTTATTTCCAGCAGAGGTGAATCAAACAAAAACCCAGTTTGATATAAAACGGTTTAATTAAAACAGCACTTACTTTCTGGCTTTTTAAATAGACCAAAATATAAAACATAAAGATAGTACTCAGCCACAGAATAAACAAAAACCAATAGCAAAAACTACACCATAATCAAAGGGTCCAGTCCAGTGGTCAAAGGCCGAGAGTTCAATAAACAAAGTCCAGGGATCAAGAGTCTATACCGTAGTCCAAAGCCAGCCCAAAGGTTCAAGGTTCCAAGATTACTGGAAACAGGTCAGGATACCGAAAATCCAACAGACCTGGGGGAAAAACCAGCAGCATCCACCACCAAAATATAACAATATTTTTCTCCCAAAGATCATTTCCAAGGCTTGCTCCTTATATCCAGAAACACCCAGCTGCAACCTATCTCTTGTATACCTCCACCCTTAATTGCTTTCACCCATGAACTCTTACTTACAGATTACTAAACCCTTTACAACTAATACTTAAATTAACCCTTCCATCACCAAGCACCATCAACTGCAGAACATATGACAAGGATGTATTTTCATTCACTGGACCAAATTTGAATACTGGTGGGGTTGGGGAGGGATTCATTTTGTCATATGGGAGTTGTAGCTGCTGGGATTTATAGTTCGCCTACAATCAAAGAGCATTCTGAACTCCACCAATGATGGAATTGAACCAAATTTGGCACACAGAACTCCCATGACGAGCAGAAAATACTGGAAGGGTTTGGTGGGCATTGACCTTGAGTTTGGGAGTTGTAGTTCACCTATGTCCAGAGAGCACTGTGGACTCAAACAATGTTGGATCCTGGACCAAACTTGACATGGATGCTCAATATCCCCGAATGGGAACACTGATGTAGTTTGGGGAAAATAGACCTTGACATTTGGGAGTTGTAGTTGCTGGGATTGATAGTTTACCTACAATCAAAGAGAATTTTGAACCCCACCAATAACAGAATTGGGCCAAACTTCCCACACAAGGACCCTCATGCCTTGAAGGGACTCGCTGGCATGAGTCTCCCTCCAGCCTCATGTGCTCTCCCTTACGTGTGCACCAAGCATGCCTGCTCTCCCCTCCCCACTTGGAGTCTCAAAAACAGCTCTCCTCTTGGCAGAGAGGCTGGAGGACCACAGTAGAGGAAGGCTTTTGGTGGGAGGATTCGCTCACCGTCTGTTTCCAAAAAGGACAGGCGGAGAGATCTCTCAGTCTTTTCTGACAAAGGGGTTCCCACGACAATGTGTTTTCTGATGGTCTTTGGTGATCCCTCTGAAACACCCTTGTGACCCCCCCCCCACCAAGGGTCCTAACCCCCAGGTTGAGAAACGTTACTTTAAGGAATAGTACTGACTTTGTGGAATTGTCAGTGACTCACCAGCTAATATGATGTGGTATCCACACTATTTTCTTCCTTTTTAGATGTCAGCTCAACTCTTTTGTGCTTGTTTTAGTATGTACACTGAAATTTGCCCAGTTTCTTCTACCCTTTTGCAGATTTTGGCAGAGAAATAAAGGTATTTTACAGCCTTGTGGTGTAATGATTTGAGCATGGCCCTACTTGGCCCTGGAAGCCCACCAGTGGCCATGAGCAGGTTGTATTCTGTCACCTTGAAGGTCAAGGTGAACCTTCTCTTGAATAGCATGGAGTAGCCATGAAGTTTGCCAAGTCGATCAGTGAGGGTGTCTGCAAAGAGGTAGCCTGGCCTCTGTTGCCTGGAGGCACCCTCTGCGTATACATTCCACTTGCCTCACTGTCAACAGAATCATAGAATCTAAGAGTTGGAAGAGACCTCATGGGTCATCCAGTCCAACCCTATTCTGCCAAGAAGCAGGAATACTGCATTCAAAGCACCCCTGACAGATGGCCATCCAGCCTCTGTTTGAAAACCTCCAAAGAAGAACTTATGAGGATGCCAGACATAGATGCAGGCGAAAACTTATGAGGATGCCAGACATAGATGCAGGCGAAACGTCAGGAGAGAATGCTGCTGAGAACTTATGAGGATGCCAGGCATAGATGCAGGCGAAACGTCAGGAGAGAATGCTGCTGAGAACTTATGAGGATGCCAAGCATAGATGCAGGCGAAACGTCAGGAGAGAATGCTGCTGAGAACTTATGAGGATGCCAGACATAGATGCAGGCGAAACGTCAGGAGAGAATGCTGCTGAGAACTTATGAGGATGCCAGACATAGATGCAGGTGAAACGTCAGGAGAGAATGCTGCTGGAAGATGGCCATGCAGCCTGGAAAACTCACTTCTGCAGAGGCTTGCCACAGATGCAGGCAAAACTTCAGGAGAGAATGCTACTGGAACATGGCCACTGCAGCCCTGAAAACTCACAGCCACCCAGTTCTCCTGCTTGGTTTCTGGAAGGATTAAAACCAACCCAGAAGGATTCTACCAGAGAAGGGGGGAATAAGTAAATAAATGAATGAATAGGGCGGGCTTTAGGACCCAGCATCTCCTCTTCTCAGCAGCGGGCCCTCCCTTTCATTCATTCCTTCTGGCCAGAGGCTCCTCCCCTTTGTTATTTCCTGACTGCCATAGAGGTGAGGCTTCCTGGAGAGACAGGAAGTGGAGTTTATAAGGCCCCTCCCCTTCCGGCCAGTGCATTGCTGGGAGAGGAGGGTGAGTGGAGCTCCTCCAAGCTGGTCCTCTGGGCTTGTTGGGATGTGTTTGGGGTTAGGAGGGGCTCCATTGGAAGGGGATTGGGAAAAGGAGGGCAGGAGGGTGGGAATGAATGGGGCAAAACAGGCTTGGGCTGTTAGGAATTGTGGGAGTTGGAGTCCAAAGCACCTGGAGGGAAGGCCCAAGTTGGCCCAGACCTGCCTTAGAGTCAGAATACATCCTTATATAGCCAAAAGACATCCCTATAAATTTGGAATGAAAACAGTAGGGAAGTCCAGGCATGAAATCCCACTGGGTGACCCTGAGCAAGCCCCAGAAGCCCCTCTGTTAAGGACACCATATGGGAACCAAGTCTAAAAACAATAACAATAGGAAGGTAAAGGTAAAGGTCTACCCCGACATAAAGTCCAGTCGTGTCCGACTCTGGGGGGGTGATGCTATTGTCCTCCCAACCCTGCTCTATGCCTGTGAGACGTGGACTGTCTACAGACGTCACATGCAACTCCTGGAACGATTCCATCAGCGCTGCCTCCGGAAAATCCTGCAAATCTCTTGGGAAGACAAGCGGACAAACGTCAGCGTGCTGGAAGAAGCAAAGACCACCAGCATTGAAGTGATGGTCCTCCGCCATCAACTCCGCTGGACCGGCCACGTTGTCCGGATGCCCGACCACCGTCTCCCAAAGCAGTTGCTCTACTCTGAACTCAAGAACGGAAAACGGAATGTTGGTGGACAGGAAAAGAGATTTAAAGATGGGCTCAAAGCCAACCTTAAAAACTCTGGCATAGACACTGAGAACTGGGAAGCCCTGGCCCTTGACCGCTCCAGCTGGAGGTCAGCTGTGACCAGCAGTGCTGCAGAATTTGAGGAGGCACGAGTGGAGGGTGAAAAAGAAAAACGTGCCAAGAGGAAGGCGCGTCAAGCCAACCCCGGCCGAGACCGCCTTCCACCTGGAAACCAATGCCCTCACTGCGGAAGAAGATGCAGAGCAAGAATAGGGCTCCACAGCCACATACGGACCCACAAGAATATTGGAAGACAATCATCCTCGGAAAGTGAGGGATCGCCTAAGTAAAAAGTAAGAAAAAAAAAGATGCTCACCTCCATTTCTAACCTGAAGAGCCGGCATTGTCCGTAGACATCTCCAAGGTCATGTGGCCAGCATGACAGAAGCAACGTGCAGTTTCTCAAGTCGCTCCTGACACACACACAAAAAATCATAACCATATAAAATATACAATCATTTATTTATTTGCGGTATTTATATACCGCCTTCTCAACCCCGAAGGGAGGAGCCCACGGTGGCGCAGGGGGTTAAAGCCCTGTGCTGGCAGGATTGAAGACCGACAGGCCGCAGGTTCGAATTCCGGGAGAGGCGGATGAGCTCCCTCTATCGGCTCCAGCTCCTCATGCGGGGACATGAGAGAAGCCTCCCACAAGGATGATAAGACATCAAAAATCATCCGGGCGTCCCCTGGGCAACGTCCTTGCAGACGGCCAATTCTCTCACAACAGGAGCGGTTGCTCCTGACACGACAAAAAAAACCAAAAAAACAAAACAAATAAAAAAAGTATAAAACATCTAAAATGACCCTCCCCTGATAAAACATTAAACATTAAGCACATCATATAAAATAGCCTCACATATCAAACAAAGACATGGCCATTCTCCGTAAACAGTCCTGGGTCGTTGCACTTTCAATTAAATATTCCTACAATGGGCCGAATGCTTGGTTCCATAGCCAGGTCTTTAGCTGTCTCCTCAAGGTCAGGAGGGAGGGGTCCGACCTGATCTCACTCGGAAGGGAGTTCCACAGCCGTGGGGCCACCACCAAGAAGGAAGGCCCTGTCCCTCGTCTCCACCAGCCGTGCCTGTGAGGCCGGTGGGGCTGAGAGCAAGACTTCCCCGGAAGATCTTAATCTACGAACTGAGCAAGGAGTTTTTCCAGAGGGTTTAAAAGAGGTGATGGTATCTCCGCTGCTGAAGAAACCAGACTTAGATCGTTCTGTTCCCTCTAGCTACCGCCCAGTCTCAAACCTTCCGTTTCTGGGCAAGGTGGTTGAGAGGGCAGCAGCGGAACAGTTGCAGCAGTTCCTAAATGACACAGCCGGGCTTGATCCCTTCCAGTTCGACTTCCGTAGGGGGCACGGGATGGATACTGTGCTAGTTGCCATCACAGATCAGCATCGCTGCCAGATGGATCAAGGCGGATCAGCGCTGCTTGTGTTATTGGACCTCACAGCAGCATTTGACACGGTCGATCACAATCTATTGACCCACCGCCTAGCCATGACTGGGGTTAGGGGGATACCCCTTAAATGGGTGTCCTTCCTCCAGAATCGGGGACAGCGTGTGGTGAGGGGAGGGATGGTTTCCGAGAGGTCTCCGCTAACTTGTGGGGTCCCGCAGGGAGCTATTCTCTCTCCTCTATTATTTAACATCTATATTCGGCCACTTGCCCAACTGGTGCGGAGCTTTGGGCTTGAGTGCCACCAGTACGCTGATGACACTGAGCTCATTCTGAGGATGGAGGGCTGGCAGGACTCTGTACCCGAAAATTTCCATCAGTGCCTTGAGGCCGTTACTGGATGGTTGCGTGCCAGCAGGTTGAGGGTGAATCCAGCAAAGACGAAGATCCTTTGGCTGGACCGTCCGGGTGGGAGGGAGATCCAGCTGCCTAACCTGGATGGCGAGACACTACGTCCGTCACTTTCTGTAAAAAGTCTTGGTGTCTTATTGGACCCTCTGCTCACAATGGAGGCCCAGGTCTCTGCTGTGAGCAGATCTGCGTTTTTCCACCTACGTCAGGCTAGGCGACTGGCTCCCTTCCTATCTAGGAACGACCTGGCTACGGTGATCCAGGCGACGGTCATCTCAAGGCTTGACTACTGTAACGCCCTCTACATTAGCCTTCCTTTCTCAGTGATCCGGAAACTGAAGCTGGTGCAAAATGCAGCGTCTCGTCTTCTCGCCGGGGTGCTGGCGAGGTGTCATATCACCCCAATTCTACAACAGCTGCACTGGCTACTGATTGAGTACCGGATTACTTTCAAGGTGCTGGTACTAACCTTTAAGGCTTTATATGGTCTGGGGCCAGCGTACCTGAGGGCCCGCTTATCCTCCTACCGACCCCAGAGATTACTTCAGTCCGAAGAACAAAATTTGCTTGAAATCCCCAACATCCGGACTTATCATCTGTCCACGATTAGGCAGAGCCTTCTCGATTGTGGCCCCTTATTTATGGAATGCCTTGCCAGTTGAAACCCGAACCATCCGAGAGCTACTTGCTTTTCGGAAAGCCTGTAAAACCTTTCTTTTCCAACAAGCTTTCGATGGGTGAATAACTCGGGACTATGTCTGTTCTCGTTTTTATTGTATTTTAAAGTTGGTTGTATTGTTTTAATCTACTGCTGTAAACCGCTCCGAGCCAAATTGGGAGTAGCGGTATACAAGTCAAATAAATAAATAAATAAATAAAATAAATAGAGGGAGATACATTTGGACAGGTAAGTTGGACCAAAGATGTTTCAGGCTTTATAGGCTAAAGCCGGCACTTTGAAATGTGCTCAGTAGCTAATAGGCAGCCAGTGGAGTTGCCGCAACAGAAGGGTTGTATGCTCCCTGTGCGATGCCCCAGTTAACAACATGGCTGCAGCGCATTGGACTATTTGCAACTTTTGAACAGTCTTCGGAGGCAGCCCCACGTAGAGCGCATTGCAGTAGTCTAAACGAGATGTAACAAGAGTGTGGACTACTGTGGCCAAATCAGATTTTCCCAGCAACTTGGGCCTTCCCTCCAGGTGTTCTGGACTCCAACTCCCAAGGTACGGGCACATTTGGTGCAAAAGTCTTAGTTGTGCGAATGCCCAGTTAAATACCATTAAAACAAATTCAGAGTTAAAAACCACATAAGACGAAAACCAGCATTAGAATAATAGAGTTGGAAGAGACCACATGGTCCATCTAGTCCAACCCCTGCCATATAGGAAAAGCACAATCAAAGCACCCAGACAGATGGCCATCCAGCCTCTGTTTAAAAGCCTCCAAGGAAGGAGCTTCCACTACACTCCGGGGCAGAGAGTTCCACTGCTGAACGGCTCTCACAGTCAGGAAGTTCTTCCTAATGTTCAGGTGGAATCCCTTTCCTGTAGTTTGAATTTTTTGTTTATTGCCTGTTGTTTTTATTATTGCTTGTTGTTTTTGATGTGTTGTTGGGCTTGGCCTCATGTAAGCTGCTCTGAGTCCCTTGGGGAGATGATGGTGGGGTATAAATAAAGGATTATTATTATTATTATTATTATTATTATTATTATTATTATTATTATCCATATTAGAATATCAAGAATATAAAACAAGAGAAACTTTTCAGTGCACTAAAAAAGCACACTAGTAAAATAATGTATTTATTTATGGTATTTGTATACCGCTTTTCTCACCCCGAGGGGGACTCAAAGCGGTTTACACATAAGTAATGGCAAAATGCAATGCCAGTGCAAACAATTACAATTATACACTACAATTAGACATAAATCAAGTTAAAAACAATACATCCACAAGCAATAAAACAATAAAACAGTCTCATCCATCAAATCGCCGTTCCAGTCATTGTCTTTCTGAAATGCTACATACATTTACTTCTACTGCCCGAAGGCCTGGTCTCAAAACCATGATTTTAATTTTTTTCCCCTAATGTATTCCCCAAAGCCTTCTGGAAGAAGAAGTTGGCTAGCTTCCCTAGCAAGGGAGTTCCCTATGAGGGAGAAGCCACAGAGAAGGCCCTTTCTTGCATTCCCACAAGGGCGATGAGATAGAGAGAAGTCCCTCCCCCAAATATCCACAGGTGTATAGACATTCTGCAGGCATATAGACACTCCACTTGCCTCAACCCAAACAGACCTTGGAAGATGCCGGCCACAGATGCAGGCGAAACGTCAGGAGAGAATGCTACTGGAACATGGCCACTCAAAACTCAAGCAAATCAATGTTTTTTTCTCTTTCTGTCTCTTGACTCTTGGACTTTGTCTCCTGTACAGAGAAACAGGCCAGCTTCTGGCTTAAATTGGATGGTTAAGCATCTTGCTACCTCAAGGAAAGCTTCATAATTGGTTCTTCAGGGAGGCTTTGCTACCTCAGCTATGCAGCAGATTACTCTTCTGTCTCCAGGAATGCAGTAAGTTCTAGCTCTCAATCCAAACATCTTCTCTTCATGGAATGGGGTGGGTGTCGAACTTTTGTTTATCCCGGATTATATCCCTGTTTAATCTGGGTTATTTGCTAAATTAAGTTTTTGCACTGCAGTCTGCTAGAGACTTTTAGTTGTGGCCAGGAACACTGAAGTAAGTGTTCCTGAGTCCTTTTTGTTGCCTTAATAAACTTTGTTTTGAGTTTATCCCTGTGTCTGGCTCTTTAAAGGCATCTGGATCGCGACATCCCACCCTGGACATTATTCCACAGATATAGAAACCCCACTTGCCCAGTTTCCAACAGACCTCACAACCTCTGAGTATGCCTGCCAAAGATGTGGGTGAAATGTCATGAAAGAATGCTTCCAGAACATGGCCAGGCAGCCTGGAAAACTCACAGCAACCAGGGTTTTAGTTTTGTATTTTGAGAATAAGTAAGTGCCACATTCCATATTCTGTATCCAGTGTAAAAGGGAAATGCCTTCTATACTGGATACAACTCCTAATTTCTCTGTGAGTCACAGTGATTTTATTCCGTTCAGAAACAAAAGAGTCAGTTTCCAGCTGGAATTTAGTCCTTTACCTAAAGTTCATAGTTGGCTCTTGATGTAACATCTTACTTTCTTTGTAGGGTTTGGCAATTCCCAGTAATGTGGCCAGTCTTCTGTCTGCGAGCGAACGTGGCAGAACAGAAAAGAACGACTTCGTCTGACCTGGTTGTTGTTTCAAAGCAACACTCATCGATGGAAAAGGAAGAATTAAGGAAAGGCTGCCCTCCTGTTGAGGGGGAGAGCAGAGGAGCTGGGCAGAAGGACCAAGGGAAGGAAGGGCTCGATTCAGAGTTACAGCGCCAGCACTTCAGAAGTTACCACTATGAGGACGCTCAGGGGCCCCGAGAGGTTTGTAGCCACCTCCACTCTCTCTGCCGCCTGTGGCTGAAGCCTGAGGAACATACAAAGGCGGAGATGCTGGACCTGGTGATTCTTGAGCAGTTCCTGAGCATCCTGCCCCCAGAGATGGAGCACTGGGTGAGGGAATGTGGGGCAGAGACCAGCTCCCAGGCTGTGGCCTTGGCTGAAGGATTCCTCCTGAGTCGGGCCCAAGAGGAGAAGGCGTTACAAGAAGAGGGGCAGGAGAGAGAGGTCCTTCAGGCCCAGGAGGACCCACCAGGCACCAACCAGGCCTTCCCTTCTGGGTGGATCAAGCTGGAGGAGGAGGACACAAGAGCTGCTCCACCAGGTGAGAGGTCTTTTGCTTGGTCCTTGCTCTCAAGGATCCCCCAAATGTCAGGTCTTCTGTTGTGTCCCCAAAATATATGTTTCCATGGCTGTTTTGTTAGAGGAGAATAAGAGCTGCTGGACTGGCTAAGATGCCTTCTTTCTCCTGATCAAAGACCTCCCAAATGTATGATCTTCTACTGTGTCCCCCAAAATGCTTGTCATGAATAGCTGTTTTGTTACAATGTCATAAGAACAGTTTTAAGAATATTGACATCCCGGCTGGTATTGTATGGACTGGGCTGCATCTCAGGAATGCGCGTGCCATACAGAACCCTTTCCAGGACCTTCTGACCTTGCTTTTGAGGACATCTTATTGTTCCCCTTTTGTGTTGTTTAAATTGTAAACCGCTTTGTGACCTCAAAATGAATTTTGAAAAAGAAATACTGAACTTCAGCTTCCCTTCCCTTCCTATGTTCATGCCCAGCATTTATTTTTTTAAATTTTAAATTTTAAACTATTACATTTGGCCCGGCCATAGGTTTTTAAATCCTTGTGTGTTATTGCTTATATGTGATTTATATTAATTTGTATTGCACTGTATTGTTTTGTTTATTGTTTTTCTGTTATTTGATGTGTTGTTGGGCTTGGCCTCATGTAAGCCGCTCCGAGTTCCTTGGGGAGATGGTGGCGGGGTATAATTAAAGTTTTATTTTATTTATAATTATTATTATGTTTGCCATTTCACAGGAGAGGAGCCAAGGGTGCTGGGAAGACGTGGCAGCTCAACACTTTCTGATGCCGGAGAAGAAGTGGCATCCATTCCACAAGATCAGGTAAAGAGGTAAAGAGATGACAGTACAAATGGGCTGAAACTTGCTTTTCTTCTGCTTCCACCCAAGTTTCCTTTTAGGAAACCCAAGAATGCTGTTCCTGAAGTCTTTTATCTTCCATTAGGGCCCACACAGTGCCTTCCCCTTCAGATTGAACCATATCTTCAAACTTTAGTAGGATCAATATGGTTGTATATTCTGGAAGAACCACCCAGGAGAAGGCTTCATAAATACGTAACGGTATTATTAAGAGGAGAAATATTAGACAACTTCGTTAATGAATGGCAACCAATGATTCAACACCTTAATGTAAAGTTAAATTAAAATGTATATAGAGGATCTTATAAGACTGTAGACAAGGAAGAAGTGGATGTAAAGTAAGAATCTATGATATCTTTTTATGTATTGTTTAGATCAGTGGTTCTCAACCTTCCTAATGCTACAACCCCTCAATGCAGTTCCTCCTCTTGTGGTGACCCCCAACCATAAAATTATTTCATTGCTACTTCATAACTGTTATTTTGCTACTGTTATGAATCATATGTAAATATCTGATATGCAGGATGAATTTCATTCACTGGACAAATTTGGCACAAATACCCAATATACGTCCAAATTTGAATACGGGGAGAGATTTTGTCATTTGAGAGTTGTAGTTGATGGGATTTATAGTTCACCTACAATCAATGAGCATTCTGAACTCCACTAATGATGAAATTGAACTAAACTTGGCATACAGAACTCCAATTACTAATAGAAAATACTGGAAGGGTTTGATGGGCATTGAGTTTTGGAGTTGTAGTTCACCTACATCCAGAGAGCATGTGGACTCAAACAATGATGGATCAGGACCAAACTTGGCACGAATACTCAATATGCCCAAATGTGAACATTGGTGGAGTTTGGGGAAAATAGACCTTGACATTTGGGAGCTGAGAGGCCCTAAGGCCCTAAGGATTTTCCTATACACAGTCTTTAGAGGCTTGAAAAGTTTAACAAAGTCCTTCATTATTGCTTAGGTCTTTAACAAATTAAACAAATACTTCTCAGATCTTCAACAAGTCAAACAAATGCTTCTTAACTTGCCCACAATGGACAGGCAACTGGCTTCATGAACTGTTTCTTTTCTTTAAGAGGAAAACCCTTTTTAACCTCTCCCAGGCAATCTACTTTCTGGGTTTCGCTGGTGTGGGCCCTACTCCCGGCTCCAAACTGCTTTTTGGGTCCCGAGTAGACCTACCAGCCAAGGCTTTGTAGATTCTCCAGCTGGAGTCCTTTGGATTTTCTCCACGGATGTTGTGGGTTTGTTTCTTTAACCCCAACAAGGGTTGCGCTGTAAACGGTTTCTTTTAAAGGCTTTTCCTTAAAGCAGTGAGGCCATAAATTCCCCAGCCAGAGCTTTGGGACTGTTTTTCCCCGGGAATTCCATGGGAAACGAAGCTTCTCTACAGATGGAGCTGCTCCACGTCCTGCAGCTAAGCTTCCAACTGGAAGACTGAACTAAAATGGCTCCCTTTCCCTCCTAAACCCAAAAAGGGGGTGGAACTAAAGAACATAATGATGATTGATGGGTCATTGGCCCTATAATTGCAAACCAAGGGAAGCCACCTTATTGCAAAATGCACGGAACCTTGGAATACATGCAAACACTCGATAGAAAGAAAATGAAGTTGGAGCTCCTGGTACAGCCGTACCAGCACAAGGCCTCTCACTTTTGTAGAAGACCCAGCTCAAGAAAGTTGTGGTGGCTACTCCTAAAAGTCATTTCCTTGAATTCTTTACTCAGACTTCAATGGATCAGGATTGTTCTTAGCAGTAGAAGAAGCATTAATTATTTGTGTCTGACTTGGCCACGGTGGTCCACGCTCTGGTTACATCCCGTTTAGACTACTGCAACGCTCTCTACGTGGGGTTGCCTCTGAAGACTGCCCGGAAGCTTCAATTAGTCCAACGAGCGGCAGCCAGATTGCTAACAGGAGCGGGGTACAGAGATCATACGACCCCTCTGTTACGCCAGCTCCACTGGCTGCCGATTAGCTTCCGAGCACAATTCAAAGTGCTGGTTTTGACCTATAAAGCCCTAAACGACTCCAGCTCAGTTTACCTGTCCGAACGGATTCTCCCCTATGAACCATCAAGGTTTTTAAGATCTTCCGGGGGTGGGGGGGCTGCTCTCGGTCCCACCACCTTCGCAATCACGGTTGGTGGGGACGAGGGACAGGGCCTTTTCGGTGGTGGCTCCTTGGCTTTGGAACTCCCTTCCACTAGAGATTAGAACTGCCCCCTCCCTCCTGACTTTCAGGAAACTAACAAAGACCTGGCTTTGGAATGAGGCATTTGCTAATTGAGTCAATAACCTTTGTCCACATGGAAGGAGGATGATGAACCGTGACTGTGATTTTATTGATGATTTGACTTGTATAATGTGATGATAATGTTTTATTGTACTTATATTTTAACTTGTAATGATGATGCATTGTGTTGTTTTTGTATATTATTGTATATTAACACATGTTGTGAACCGGTCTGAGTCCCTCCTTGGAGGTGAGAAGATCGGTATATAAAACTTCTAAATGAATAAATAAATAATTGTGTGTCCAACTTTCTTCTTTCAGGTGACATTTGAGGACGTGGCTGTACATTTCAGTGCCGAGGAGTGGGCCTTACTGGATCCGGATCAATGGGCCCTGCACTGGGAAGTCATGGAAGAAAATTACAGGATGGTGGCTTCTCTGGGTAAGAATCCCTCAGCCTCTTGGTTAAGAAAAATCAGTTGGGGGGAATTGTCATTTCTCTACAGTCTTGCTGCATAGTTCAGGAACATGAGAAACTTCTGGTTTCTGACCAGGCTGGAAGAAACGATGCCCCTTTGGACACTACTTCTGAGGAGCTGCTCTTCAGCAGGACAATTACTCAATGCTTGCTTGAACATGGTTTCGTAGGGTAGCTCATGATATTTTCAGGTTGCATGTTGCATCCCCCCCCCCCCCCCACTGTGGACAATGCTATGATGGGGGTGATAATCCAACAACTCCGTAAGAAGATTCCCACATCTTCTTTCTCTCACATACAATATTTCTGTAGCTGATTGATTTCATTCTTCCCTTTTCTCATGCCTTCCTACTTTTTGTCTTTCTTCTTTCAAGGTGGTGATGGACAAGGGAGTGATAGTGGGGGAGCTCCAAATAAAATGTGGCTGAAAACAGTGGGAAGTAAAATGGAGGAGGAAAGAAGCCTAAAAATGGAAGCAGAAGGATATAACAGGAACTGGTGCCCTGTCGACATCAGGGAAATCAAAATCGAAGAGACAATAGACAAAAGCAGGGAGATTGGAAACAGCCCTGTCTATGAAAATATCTTCTTCCAGGAGGCATACAATGAAAAATACCAAATTGTTGTCAAGCCATATAAATGCCTGGAGTGTGGAAAGAGTTACTTTCAGAAAAAAAGCCTCAGCAGACACAAAAGAACCCACACGCAAGGGAAGCCATATAAATGCCGCGAGTGTGGAAAAGGTTTTTCCTGTAAGAGAAATGTTATTGGGCACGAAATGAATCACAGAGGAGAGAAACCCTATCAATGTCTGGAGTGCGAGAAGAGTTTCTCTTTCAGTGACAGCCTAAAGCTGCACCAAAACACCCACTTGAGAGAGAAGCCCTATAAATGCCTGGAGTGTGGGAAAGCCTTCTTTCAGAAAGGACACCTCAAAAGCCACATAAATACCCACATGCAAGAGAAGCCATATAAATGCACCGAGTGTGGGAGAAGTTTTTCCTGTAAGAGACGTCTTACTGGGCACGAAATGAATCACAGAGGAGAGAAACCCTATCAATGTCTGGAGTGCGGGAAGAGTTTCTCTTTCAGAGAGACCCTAACACAGCACCAAAACACCCACAGAGAAGAGAAGCCATATAAATGCCCGGAGTGCGGGAAATGCTTTTTTTACAAAGGATACCTCAACAAACACATAAATACCCACACACATTAGAGGCCATATAAATGCATGGAGTGTGGGAGAGGCTTTTTGGATAAGAGACGTCTTATTGCACAAGAAATGAATTGCAGAAGAGAGGAAACCTATCAATGCCTGGAGTGCGGGAAGTTATACCCTTAAATCTGTTCTTAAAGTTCACCAGAAGAGTCATACAGAAGAGAGTGGGAAGAGTTTTAGCTACAAATCAAACCTCAAAAATATGCAGAATAGTCATATAGAAGTCAAAATTGAATTATTAATATTATTATTTTATTTTATTAAATTTTAATTATTTTTCCATAATTATATTAAAACAGGGGAGTGAGGAGAGAAAAAAACATGGGGGGTGGGGGTAACAATGAAAGTGTGAGAACAATTAATTCAAGGAAAGTAGGAAAATGTTTATATCTATAGAGATTTATTATAATAATAAATAATAAACATTATTTATACCCTGCTAACATCTCCCCAAGGTACTCGGTGTGGCCTAGATGAGGCCGAGCCCAAAGTACATCAACAGTAAAAGCAATAAAAAAACAATACAACAGTTAAAATAAATCTCATACACAAAAGTTAATAACAATAACAACAAGCATTTAAAACCTATGTCTGGGCCAAATGCAATGATTTAAAATTTAAAAAATAATGCTGGACATGGACAAGGTAGGATATAATTATTATTTTAGTTTTATACCCCGCCTCCATCTCCCTGAAGGGACTCGGGGTAGCTTACACAGGGCCAAGCCCAGATAACAGAAATTAAAACATAGCACATCAGAGTGCATCAACAGCAAATTAAAACAACATCCTACAAAATATTTTAAAAAATCAAAACCAACAGCAATAACATGGTGAAGTCTCAACATGAGTAGGTGGCCTGGTGTCCAACAAATCAGAGGATAGGACAATGAGTAAAGTGCTTAGGGCCATGTTAAGAATGAGAGCAATAAATAAAATGGTAGTAAAGTGCATAGTCAAATTTGGAGGTCCTACCTAAGGACAACTGTCAAGGGAAAGGTTTAATCAAATGCACGACGGAGCATCCATGTCTTCAAATCTTTCTGAAAAGTGGATAGGGAGGAGGCTAGGCTGATCTCCCTAAGAAGGGAATTCCAGAGTCGGGGGCAACAACTGAAAAGGCCCTCTCCCTTGTCCCCACCAACCGGGTCTGTATTGGAGGTGGGAGCAAAAGAAGGGCCTCCCCAGAAGATCTCAGGGATTGTGTGGGTTCGTAAGGGAAGATGCGATCTTGAAGATAGGCAGGTCCCATTTAGAGCTTTGTAGGTGATGACCTGCAACTTGAACTGGGAAGATCTTCCTAGACTCCATGTCTGGAGTCTAGGAAGATCTTCCATTGGAGAGCAAGTCCCAAGGCCCACTGCAAGTTTATGTTTCAACTCTGCTGATAAGAGTAAAGTATTTTTCCCCCTGTTCATTTTCCTCTTGCCTTTGTGCAATGTTATTGTGTGTTCTGCATTGGACCTGATTGAAACTTGCTTGAGCGCAACGGTTTCGACACTGGTTTCCTCCTTTTCAGCTCTTTTGCACTTGTTTTAGAAGTTCACTGAAATGTGCTCTGTTTTTTGTGTTCTTTTGCAAATGTTCAGAGAAAAATAAAGGCATCTTATGGCCTGATGTAATGGGTTGAGCCCTCTGTAAGGCAGAGCTTGCAGCCCGAATTCACCTTGGAAACCCACTGGTGTGCCTGGAGCAAGAGACACTCTCTCAGCCTCAGAGAAAGGCAGAGGTGAAGTCCCTCAGGATCCAAATACTAACCCGAGCTGACCCTGTTTAGCTTCCAAAATCCGACAGAACCTGCTGCCTTTGCATTGTGCCGTCACACCCAGACCCTGTAAAAATAAAACTAAGATGTGCTTCTCTCTTTGTCTGGGCAGACCGCGGGGGTCTTTCTTTAGAAGCTTGAGATTCCCAGCAACTGAGGCTACTACAGGTTTTGAACACCAAAACAGAATATTTATTTCTCAAAGTCCTTGCAGACTTGGCACAGCTTATCAAAGTTACAAACAAAACAGTTGGTGAAACCATAGAGATGATCTTTCTTTCCTTTTCCTTCAGTTACTGAGGTGCCTTTATCCAAATGGTAGAAAAAATCCTGAGATCTTTTTACCCCAACCCTGAGCCACTATCTTTTAGAAAGCATGTTGTTCATTTGTTCCCAACTCTTCGTGACCTCATGGACCAGCCCACGCCAGAGCTCCCTGTCAGCCCTCACCACCCCCAGCTCCTTCAAGGTCAGTCCAGTCACTTCAAAGATGCCATCCATCCATCTTGCCCTTGGTCGGCCCCTCTTCCTTTTACCTTCCACTTTCCCCAGCATCATTCTCTTCTCTAAACTTTGCTGTCTCCTCATGATGTGGCCAAAGTACTTCAACTTTGTCTCTAGTCTCCTTCCCTCCAATGAGCAGTCGGGCTTTATTTCCTGGAGGATGGACTGGTTGGATCTTCTCGCAGTCCAAGGCACTCTCAGCACTTTCCTCCAAAAAGTTAGAAAGCGTAGGCCTTCCCTATTCCAGCCCAAGGTCAGTTTTGGAGATGAAGCAAATACTGCTCAATAACTATTTCTCAATAACTCAATATCTATAACTCAGTTGCTCAATCACTATAGTATCTCAATCACTAAATTTATCTTTCTATTTCTCAATCAGCTTCTTTATCTATATAACTCAATCAGCTTCTCTAAATAACTCAATCAGCTTTTCTATCTAAATAATTCAATCAGCTTCTCTAAATAACTCAATCAGCTTCTCTATCTAGTCCAAACTAGTCCAATGTGGGCTAGGCAAAACTACAGTGAGGTGGATCTGTAATTGGTTAAATGGACGAACCCAGAGGGTGCTCACCAATGCCTCCTCTTCATCATGGAAAGAAGTGACAAGTGGAGTGCCGCAGGGTTCTGTCCTGGGCCCGGTCCTGTTCAACATCTTTATTAATGACTAAGATGAAGGGTTAGAAGGCAGGATCATCAAGTTTGCAGATGACACCAAATTGGGAGGGATAGCCAATACTCCAGAAGACAGGAGCAGAATTCAAAATGATCTTGACAGATTAGAGAGATGGGCCAAAGCTAACAAAATGAAGTTCAACAGTGACAAATGCAAGATACTCCACTTTGGCAGGAAAAACGAAATGCAAAGATACAGAATGGGGGATGCCTGACTCGAGAGCAGTACGTGTGAAAAAGATCTTGGAGTCCTCGTGGACAACAAGTTAAACATGAGCCAACAATGTGATGTGGCGGCAAAAAAAGCCAATGGGATTTTGGCCTGCATCAATAGGAGCATAGTGTCTAGATATAGGGAAGTAATGCAACCCCTCTATTCTGCTTTTAGCAGACCACACCTGGAATACTGTATCCAATTCTGGGCACCACAATTGAAGGGAGATATTGATAAGCTGGAATGTGTCCAGAGAAGGGTGACTAAAATGATCAAGGGTCTGGAGAACAAGCCCTATGAGGAGCGGCTTAAGGAGCTGGGCATGTTTAGCCTGAAGAAGAGAAGGCTGAGAGGGATATGATAGCCATGTATAAATATGTGAGAAGAAGCCACAGGGAGGAGGGAGCAAGCTTGTTTTCTGCTTCCTTGGAGACTAGGACGTGGAACAATGGCTTCAAACTACAAGAAAGGAGATTCCATCTGAACATGAGGAAGAACTTCCTGACTGTGAGAGCCGTTCAGCAGTGGAACTCTCTGCCCCGGAGTGTGGTGGAGGCTCCTTCTTTGGAAGCTTTTAAACAGAGGCTGGATGGCCATCTATCAGGGGTGATTTGAATGCAATATTCCTGCTTCTTGGCAGGGGGTTGGACTGGATGGCCCATGAGGTCTCTTCCAACTCTTTAGATTCTATGATTGTATCTAAATAAATCGTTCTTACAATGGTTTTCTCAGAGCTCCCTGCCTGACCGACAGCACATCTGGAGCTTTCTTTCTCTACTGAAGGAGACAGGGAAGATTCCAAAATGGAGATCTCAACCCAGGAAAAATGGTGGACTCCTAACCCAAAGAGATACTTTTCTAAACCAATAACTGCAGAGAGCCTGCAGTCTGGCTTTGCAGACTCTGATACTGTTTAACTTCCAGGGTGCTGCTGGGTCTGTAGCAGCCCTGGGAAAATGCAAAAGAACACTATTCCATGCAACTAAAAGGTAATGCAAACTATGCTCCTGGAAGACGGAACAGGCATACTGTCTTGCACACATACACACACATATATATAGGAATGGGTGCCACTTCCTTATCTTTCACTCCACCAGTTTCCCATTCCTTGACAAGTATTTTTTTTTTTTTTTGGTTAGGGATATTTCGCAAAATATCAAATTATTTAAAAATACAAGACAGGATACTTAACAGCATTTTCAGCTAGCAAGCAGCAAGCAGAGAGTGTGGCTGTACTTACTTACTTAGGCAATCCCTCATTTTCAGAGTAGGATTGTCTTCCAAGATGGGTGTACTGGCGGTGGGTTCGTAGGTGATTGTGGAGTTACAGGTGATGTCTGTAGACTGCCCCTGTCTCACAGGCGTAGAGCAGGGTTGGGAGGACAATAGCTTTATAAACAACCACCTTGGTCTCTCTATGGACGTCCCAGTCCTCAAACACTCTGTGCTTCATTCAGAAAAAAAGCTGCACTTGCAGAGCTCAGGCTTCCCAGTTCTCAGTGTCTATGCCAGAGTTTTTAAGGTTGGCTTTGAGCCCATCTTTGAATTTTTTTTTCTGTCCTCCAGCATTCCTGTTTTCCGTTCTTGAGTTCGGAGTAGAGCAACTGGTTTAGGAGATGGTGGTCGGGCATCTGGACGTGGCCAGTCCAGCGGAGTTGATGGCGGGGGACCATCGCTTCAGTGCTGGTGGTCTTTGCTTCTTCCAGCACGCTGACGTTTGTCCGCTTGTCTTCCCAAGAGATTTGCAGGATTTTCTAGAGGCAGCGCTGATGGAATCGTTCCAGGAGTTGCATGTGACGTCTGTAGACAATCCACGTCTCGCAGGCATATAGCAGGGTTGGGAGAACAATAGCTTTATAAACAAGCACCTTAGTATCCCTTCGGATGTCCCGGTCCTCAAACAGTGTGCTTCATTTGGAAAATATCTTCAGTTACAGAGTTCAGGTGGTGTTGTATTTCAGTGTCAATTTTGACTTTGGTGGAAATGTTGACTGGTGGAAATGGTCCACATTTTCTAACGTTACACCATTAAGCTGTATTTCTGGCATTGCAGATAGGTTGGTTGGTGACCACTGGAAGAGCACTTTGGTTTTCTCAATGTTCAATAAGAGACCAAGCTTCTTGTATGTTTCTGCGAAGGTGTTTAGAGTCGTCTTCTGAATGTGCACAGACAACGTTGTCACCAGCATATTAGAGTTCAACTCTGCTGGACCGGCCACTTTGTCCGAATGTCCAAAAACCATCTCCCAAAGCAGTTGCTCTACTCCGAACTCAAGAACGGAAAACAAAATGTTGGTGGGCAGGAAAAGAGATTGAAAGATGGGCTCAAAGCCAACCTTAAAAACTCTGGCATAGACACTGAGAACTGGGAAGCCCTGGCCCTTGAGCACTCCAGCTGGAGGTCAGCTGTGACCAGCAGTGCTGCAGAATTTGAAGAGGCACGAATGGAGGGTGAAAGAGAGAAATGTGCCAAGAGGAAGGCGCGTCAAGCCAACCCCGACCAAGACCGCCTTCCACCTGGAAACTAATTGTAGGGGCCAAAACCAAAAAGATAATCCACAAATCCAAAATCCAAGAGCAGATTGCCCCTTCCCAAGGAGGGCGAGGAAGGACACCACGAAAGTTGAATCTTTAAAACTGCAAAATGCTAAAGCAAT